TTTGCAACCTGAAGTTTGCAAAATTACTTGAGTAATCATTATGTTGAGTGCACAAGTTTCAAACTATGAGATCCAGAAAATTTCTATTGAAAAAGATTGTGAATTTATATCCCAGAATTTCAGTGATCAACATGCATTTGTTAGAAAAATAATTGAAAAGTCTACTTAACAGAACGATCTGGCAGAATTATTAGCCTCTATGAATGGCTAGATCAATACTTTTGAGAACAAGATCTTCATCTCAGGGTTGGCTTGTTTAGTTTGATATGTTGCAACATTTATACAAATCAAGCCAATAAAATTCTCCCAATGAAATTGGCTTTTGGTTTGGAGCCAAATACTTTCCATCTTAAAAGTTTGAATGTGCAATACTTATGTCTATTGATCCACCACAATATACATATAGATGGATATAAAAAATTGGAATGAATGTTAGGTAAGAACCTCCTTCTTCTTGTTTGTATCTAAAAGAAACAAAAGGGATGTTTCTAAAAGAAACAAATGAATTGAGGAGACTCATACTGCATGATTAATTGATTGTCATTCGACAAAATTTTTCTAACATGAGGGGGAGAAATTGAGTAGCTGGAAAAGATAACATATAGAATGCATTATTATTATTAAGTATAGATCCTCAGATATATGATAGTATGAACCAGAAGTTCATCAAAGAATGCATCCATGAGATATTACAAAATATGTGCCAGATGCCATTACTGACCTAAGTGAGTATTACTAAATCTCATATTCCAGCTGAAAATACTCCAATTGGTATAAATAAAAGTGAGATATGCCTGAAGCATGAGAGATAAATCGGTTCCAATATAATTATATTGAACAAAAAGGAGCATGAAATTTAAAAGTTATATTAAGGAGGCATGTGCTCTAAAAGAGTATTAAGACATAACTAGTTAAAAAAAAAAGCCCCAGAAGACGTTCAGGTACCTGAAAAGTAATGAAGAGATCTCAATAAGTTATGTCACAAGGGGAAAAACGGAACCAAAAAGATAAAGTTGTCGACAACGTTTTTTATAATAATATCACGTGATTTTAAAAAGGATCTCATATGAAAATAGAAATTTGGCCAAAAGTAAAAGAAAAAGAGAAAAGATGCAATGGAAATATAATTATTATTTTAATATGTGAAAATTATAGACCTGCAGTCCAAACACATCAAATACAAAGTTATTACGTGACATATGAATATTTTTGTGAAAATAAAGAATTTCACAAAGGTCTAGTGATTATGATTAGGCATAATATTTTATGGTGGATGCAATAATTTTTGCATATATTACTAGTCTAGCAGTATATCAAAAACGAAATATATGTCTGTTACATATCGTCATAGCCTATGCATGTGGCTCACTAAATAATGAGGTTTACATGAGAATTCTTGAGGGATTTAAAATGCCAGAAGCATTTATATAGAAGAAAATCATCCAATATTTAAAATATTATGTTGAATAAGATAATCTGAGTATACATATCTGGCTTAATAAAAATATATTAGAAAATAAATAATTCCGTATCTTACTTGACCCATAAATCAAGTTATTGAATGCATCAATGATTGCAAAATGATTGATTTTGTTATGATAATTTTGTCTGCAAAATATATTCAACTAAATAGACTAGAAGTCCCATATATTTATTCTATAATAATATTTACATATATTGTCAATATTACGTGTTATAATTTTATTGGTAAAAATAAGTTTCTGCAGGTATGCATGTAATAAGTTTCTGCAGGTATGCATGTAAATAACGAAATTAAGATTGGATATATAGTTCTATAAAACTATTATATGATATCATTTTGTTCACATTAAATTAATCATACTGATGCAAGATATATTATGGTGTTTTTTTAGAGTAACCTTTCTTTGCAGTTTTCTTAATGCAAGTGAAGAATATATTGATAATTCCACATATCTAGAAGATATGTTAGAGGAATACATTTCAATATAAGCTGATGATGATATACTATGCATAGTTCGACTAAAAAGAAGATATGCTTGAAAAAGCATTGGACGACTTGAGAAACTAGTATATTTTATTATGATAAAATGATATAGAGTTATGCTGTTGACAGGGGGAGCAAAGATCATGCTGTACTCTTTTCCTTAACCAAAGTTTTGTCCCACAGGGTTTTCCTGGTTGAGATTTTTAATGAGGCAGCCTTAATATATATTGTGTACTCTTTTTCCTTCACTAGGTTTTTGTCCCACTGGGTTTTTCCTAGTAAGGTTTTAATGAGGCACAATATTTGTTATGGACATCCAAGGGGGAGTGTTATAAATATTGTATATATGTGGATGTTCATAACCCCCAACTCTTAGGATTCTTCATAGGATTCTTGATCTTTGAATGTTTTAAACCCATAACCCCCTAATGAATGACTTTAGAGGAGTTTTTCATGTTTATTGTCATTATTCCTTTATTCATTTCTTTGTAATTCTTGGATTAGACTTTTATGGTTGGGGGCCTATAAATAGAAGCCACATACAAGGTATTTGTACCCATATATGTATATGAGAAATACTTCTTGTTTTCTCTCCCAATTCTTGTCTTGCTATCCTCTTTCTACTCTCTAACTCTCTTATTTTTATAACAAAAATAAGGTATTATTAAAATTTCTCCCCTCCCTCCCTCCCCTTCAATCAATCTAAACAGGAGATTATTAAAATTTCTCTCCTCCCTCCCTCCCCTCCCTTTTGTAGCTACCCTCCTTTTTCCTCCCCTCTCATTCTCTTGATTAAAATTACTCTTTTGCCTCATATTTTCTATTTATCAAAATTTTATAACTTCATTTTTTAAGTTCATTAAATTTTTTTCTTTTCTCTTCTCCACTTCAATTCCCTCGTACCAAATTAGGAAATTTATTTCAAAAGGCTGCAACCAATTTCAAAAGTTCTGTGCTTCTTTGCTGTTTAATGTAGGATTATACCCATTTTGATTTCGTCATGTAATTTAATTCTTTCAAGTCCCAAATCTGGACAAGAGAGGAACAAGAAAAAGAACAAATCGTCCATTTTTAAGCCTACGACAACACTGCAATTCAACTTCAAAAGATAAAAATTACAATTATCCCTAACTCACCTGAGACTGTCAAGCTTCCCAGAATTCGTCCACTACTTACCATCTCAAACCCTTTTAACATATTATCTAAATCTTAAAAGCTACCTTCCTTTGTAGTCGCTGGTAACAAAATAGGGATGCTTGTTCCCGATGGTACCTTTAAACAATGTATAAAATTTGAAACATAAAATTCCTTATAAAGTACCCTCAATATATACAATCCCTTTCTTTCTTTCTCTTTGTTTTTTTTTTTCAGTCGGATTTCGTACAAGAGATTTTTAATTAAACAAAAAGCTAAAATATCCATTTAGTCTATCCTTTAATTTTAAAAAATATACCTTTAATTTTTTAATCTTAAAATTATTAGCCTTTGCTTCGTATCATATTTTTGTTAACAGAGGTTTTAAAGTTAAGAGACCACTGGACCAAAAATATAAAAATAATAACAATGCATCCGCGCCAATGTTTTGGCGGGCCGTCTCGTCACTCACGTTGACCCTTTTCCTTCAATTTCATTCTCAGCTAAATACACCTACCTAAACATCATACTTTTAGGACTTATTTGGTATAGGAGAGAAGAAGGAAACTAGAGCCGGTAATACAGGCTGGGCCCGCGGACCCAGCCTGCCAGCCCGCCAAAAAAGGCGGGTTTGGGTTGATGTTTTCCCAACCCGTCACGGTGCAGGCTACTCTAGCCCGCACTGCTTTTGACCCGCTCCGTCACGGGCTAGCCCACCAGCCCGCTTTTTTTTTTTTTTTTTTTTCTGATTTTTAATACATTATATAATATAGTTAGATGATTTTGACCATTAAACTTCATATGGACATTACCTCATCCATATCATTATATATATAATTAATTAAGCACTTCATATATATGTATGGTTATATGAAGAGCACTATCCATCTTTTATTTTTATATCTATTTGTCATTAGTATGCACGGCTTCATAAGATTAGATAAATATGTGATTTTCATATAGTCATACATACACACACATAAAAGATTTACTTAATTAATTTGGATAAAAAAACTAGTTAAATTAATTATTTATAAAAAATATATATGTTAGTTTTTCTTAAATTTCTTCTAATATTATAAATTAATTCTCTCTCTTTTTTTTATTAGAATCCATTACTCAAATTTAAAACTCGAAGCTTAATTTCAACATTTCAAATTAGACTTAACTCATACTAATATAATAAATTTAAAAAAAAAAAATTTAGGCGGGTTGGCGGGCTTTTGCCAACCTGCTAAGATGTGGGCTACTTCAGTCCGCACCGCATTTGACCCGCACCGTGACGGACTGACCCGTATCCGCACCGCCAACCCGCTTTCTCAAGTCTAAAGTAAATGGAGGAAATAAGTGTTTTCCATTTGTTGGGTTACTAAAATTTTTAAGCAGAGGCAAAATTCACTCATACCATAAACAAACCCCCCCCCCCAACCCCACCCCACCCCACCCCACCCCAAAAAACAATTAAGACGCTCCCCCCTCACACCCTATCTTGAGCCGAACACACCTGAATTTAATTATTTATTAGTGAAGTACTGAAGCATGATGACAGGCAAAAGCACCCCTCGAACCCACATTTATTATTCTATTTTTCAACATTATATTCTATCAGTTCTTAGATAGCATACACATTTCGGATCCGTTATTCTTCTTGCAGCCAGTCAATATTGTTCTAGATACTTTTTCTTTTTTTGCCAACATTGTTCTTGATATTGCCAAGCTGCGCACTGAGCTTAACGGTGCAAAGCCTGAAGGCTTGTTTAAGTTGTGATGTTTTCATTAAAAAGAATCACCAAGAGGCCTCCTTGTTTCTGCAATCCCTCTAATCCCTTCATCGGTGGTATTTGAACCAAAGTCTTTTCCCCTTTTCGCGCATCAATCAGGAATACAGGAGCAATGATGTGGCCTCAGACATTCAAGGAAGGATCAAGGGCAGCATAAGCTCTCAAGCCGGGCGAAAGGCGAAAGCTCTCAGGCGGCCACTGCGAATGTTTTGAGAAACAAGCCTTTGGATTTCTCATCATTGGCCATGCTTTCCCCTACCGTGAACTTACATACAAGGATCGCATTCCCACATCAAGTTCACAACTGTATAAAACATATTCACACAATCACAAGTTCACAACTCTTTCAACTGATTGATCATGCAACTCTAAGAACAACTACAATTCCCAAATCGCACATCAAATGGTTTCAATAAAACTGGTGTGTTTCGCAATCTATAAAAACCAGACACTCTTGTGCTTGAAGAACGAGAAAAATTTCACAGATCGTGAGGACTCTTGACAACTAGTTATGTGTAATTGAATCTCCTAAAGAAAAACAATTTGATTGAAAAATAAAGAACACCATACAGTTTTCAAAGGTGAACAGAGTTTTAGTTCTAATCAGAAATTCACCAACAATGATTTGACCTCAGACATCCAAGGAAGGATTAAGGCAGCATAAGCTCTCAAGCCTGGCGAAGGCGAAAGCTCTCAGGCGGCCACTGCGAATGTTTTGAGAAACAAGCCTTTGGATTTCTCATCATTGGCCGCATTTTTCACTCACACAGTAAATAGAGATATTTCCTATTACAACTATGCTAGAGAAAATCATTGACACCAACCATTCTATACTCTTCCATCACAATTGATCAAAACAAACATTCACGCAATAACCTATCAATTTACTTTAGTTCAGTGAACATAAAACATTAAGATTAATACAAAACAGAACATGCAGATGATGAGTAAAGGGTATTCAAAGTCCTGACAAGTAGTTTAATATATTACGCCTTTGTATAATCCAATCCTCCATAGAACATCCCACATATTAACCAATACAAAAAATATAAAAGCCACAACTTTGTGCCTTCGTAAAGGCCAGAGGCACAAAAAGGGGGAGAATGAAGTTTGATTTCAAATCAGAAATGCATGATCAACGATTTGTGACCTCAGACATCCAAGGAAGGATTGAGGCAGCATAAGCTCTCAAGCCCGGCGAAAGGCGAAAGCTCTTAGGCGGCCACTGCGAATGTTTAGAGAAACAAGCCTTTGGATTTCTCATCATTGGCCACGTTTTTCCACTGACGTCACATATACAGATATCAATATATCATACACAAACACATTCTTCGTCAAACTGTTATAACAACTAAATTTACACAACTATACTCTTCCTTCACCAACAATTCTTCCAAAAAAAGAGACACAAGCACACATCACGCTAATCCTATCTATTTATGGTTTGGTAAACCGAAGCATTCATGAGAATAATATCTGACATACCATCCATTTTCACAAAATACAGAAAGGATTTAAGCAGCATCAATTCTCAATCCCCAGCAAGGTAAAATTTAATCAACCAACATCGGGACACAGATGCATATGCAAGAAGGGAAGAGATCATCAGATAGGAGCGAAAGACGTAAAATAGTATAATCACTGAAATATCATTTGAACTATGCTTCTGTACATCATATGACCCTCTCAGGACGACTCCATACCCAAAATAAATATTTGGGGTAGAAACATAGCAATTAGACAAAAATGCAACGCCGATGAGATCCGGGGTAGGGAAATTGGCGAAGAAAATGCAGAGAAAATCACCCAAAAATCATAATGTAAGAAAACTAATTTAAAAAGAACGAACGAAATTAGATAAAAACATTACGTATAGTAGGCCTCATAGAGAAGATTAGATTGGTCTTCATGAATAAGATCAGACATATGCTTGTCTATTAAAAAGATTTAATCATCGGCCAATGTTGGATTATTGGGAATGAAAACAAGTCCCCCAAATCGTAAAACGAAACACTGGACAAAGATTTATTCTTGATACTAATTGGAAAATAAAGCCAATTTAAAAGGGACTCGGAATATGGGTGGTGATATATCAGAATGGTCGGCAATGACTAAAGCCAATTACGACGAACGAGACCTTAAAAGTAATCGAATCGTCACAGTCCCGTTCATTTTTTTTTTTTGGAAAACAACACAACTACGATACAGAAAAGAAGTTCAAGAAAAACAAATTTACATCCGTCGACGAGTAATCAACCAGCAAATAAAAACACAGAAAAGACGTTGCGGTACGGTGCTCATGAACTAGCGAGGAAACCTAAGGACATGGGGCGAAACATAACCGGCGGAATACAGAGGTGAGTCGCAAAGTTGGGTGCTTATAAAGAAGGCGACGGAGAGGCGAGATCTAGGGTTTAGTGGGTCAGGGAACGGAAGAGAGGCTGACGTGGCGCTAATGTCTAGAGTGTTCTAATCTTCGGGAGAATTTCACGGAAGGGCAAGCCCATTCAACTGCGAATTATTTTCATATTTGCTATCCTCCCACCTATTTAAGTGTCCTCTTTTTATATTTATTAAGTCAATAAAAATATGCTGGTAAAAAAAAGTCAATAAAAATAAAATTAAAAAAACTCATTAATTATTTTATAAATAACTTATATAAGAAGGATTTATAAATCGAAACAAAGTGATATGAATTAAAAAAAATATTTGCATATCCGTAACAAAAAATAGTTTAATCCCTCATAATAGAAAAAAAATAATTATATAAATGTCTTTCGCTTATTTTTTTTAATTTAAGAAAAATTCAGTCAAAAAAATTTTAATTACCTTAAAATCATATAATAACAAATTTCTGCTCAAGACTGTTTGATAATTAAATTCTTTACTTAGAATCTCACATCTTCCCTTTTTTTTTTATCATCTTTTATGTGGGAGAAAGAACTCATGCACATTTTAATTATATATTTTCAAATATGTAATCTCATAGTTAGGTAACTAAGTTGAAGACTCAAAAAATTAGTTAAGCTTTTTTTTTAATAATAAAAATGTGTTGATTTTCTTAAATTACCTTATTCAATCACGTACATTAAAACTATTTTTTGGTGAAAATACTTTATAATCAATAGAGATTTTTTTAAAACATATTATAAATTTAAAAAATAAAGTAAATTATAGTCTTATATTTAAGGTCGCCAACTAACTCACCTGTAAAAATGTATTTAGTATCAATTAGGTCAGAAAGCCCAACCAAAATAATTTGTTGTTATTTTTCTAAATATAGAAAATTTAAGATATTCATCAGGCATGTATTATGAGCATTGTGGCCGTTGACGCATGCAAGAAGGACAGAGGGGTAGTACTAGGAAAACGGGTTGGCCCGTCACGAGCTCAGACTTAAACGGGCTGACCCGTTTAAGCCTAAGTCCCATAAATGAACTTTTTTTTCAAGCCCTACTTGTGAGATGACAGGTTCAGGTAAACCCGTGTGCTTTTGGCCGGTTTAAGTAAGATGTAATTTTTAAATTTTTTTGCATATTTTATTGAAATAATAAAAATGAAATAATAAAAATACTAATAAAAGGTATAAATAAAAATAAAAATAAGTCACAAACATAAATATCATCATGTTTAAACATCTATCACAGTGTAATAGAATTTATTGAATAAACAAACTAAATAAAAGACAAACATAAACAACTAAATAAGTACTAAGTTTAATAAATAATTGCAATGATCTAGTTTAATTATAAATAATTAACAGAAAAGTTTAACTAACAAACATGGTATACATAAAGAATAATCATTTGTCCTACTGACAAAAAAGAAAAGAGTCCATCATCCCTAATTCTAAATTTGTTCCTAACTATAAAAATAATATATATCTTTATTTTAATTGAAACGATTCTTTAACCAATTCTATTTCAAGTATAAAAAATATGGGATAATGACAAACAAAGACCATAAAATTACATATACAGTATTTTAACAGGTTTTGACAACTTATAAATAACAACACATCTTGTGAGTATAACTAGTTTTAAATTTTGCAATTTTCACATTTTTTTGGTTATTTTCGCAACAATTATGGTGATTTTTTTTGGTGAATGCTATCTGTGTGAGTGGCTGGAGTAAGTAAAACTAAGAGTATGCTATGCGTAAAATGTTAGGGTTTTTCTTTTTAAGTTAAGAAAAAAATAGAAATTTAAAAAAAAAATGTTTGCGGGTTTAAACGGGCCGGCCCGCGACCCTACAAGGCCGGCCTGTTTATTTTTCAATCCTACAGAACTAGCCATTTTAAGCACGACTTCCTTTTAAAAATTTCAAAATACAAGTCCAATCCTCAACTTAAACTAGTTTAAACAGGTCAGTATAACAGGCTCGGCCCGTTTTCCAAGTCTGTGGAAGGCGCACCCTCATTATGTCAAGGAACAAATTTTTAACAATATCATCACCGTTCATTTAACAGATAAAACTGTACGGCCTACATTTCACTTTTACGCGCAAAACGAAGCCGTTTCTTGGTTTGGGGAGACAAGCCGGACGCCCTCTTCGATTTTGCTCTCTGCTTTCTCGCCGACGTCTGACATCTCAGCTGCCTAAACCCCTCTCTCTACGCCTCTTGTCTTCCGCGGCACCGCCGCGGCCGCCGCTCCTTCCTATACTCTCCTCCACCCAAGTCATCTTTCTCTACCTTCGCTTCGTTCTTGGACTGGTTCGTCTAGTCTTCTTCGTCTTCGATTTACCTGTTTCCACTTCGTCTCTAATTATTTATCCTCCTTGTTTTTTTTTTTTTTAAACTTTTATCTTCTTTTTCCTTTTTATTTTTTATTTCTTCGAACGAGCTTCGTGTATCTGTTACAGTGTTAGAATGTAGAGGGTGCATGGAAGAAATTTTTTTTAGTGAGAAAGAAGGTTTGATCTTTGAATGTGTTGAGTTTTACCATTTTCGAAGGCTTGTTGCTTTCCTCCCATTTTCTTGTGTAGTTTTTAACCTTTTAACGTGTCCCTCCTCTCTAGGGTGGTGAAATCACATTCACAGTGACAGCAATCTCATGACCATTCCGCTAATTCTATTGCTGTGCGCGGACTGTGGAGTTTTTTTTTTTTTTTTTTAATTTTTTTAAATGTAGACTCTTCTTATTCCAAAAGCATTAGTCTTTGATTTGTTAACTTCAGTCTGGAATTTTACTCATGTTGGTTATATATTTTTCATACAATATGATAATATGAACAATATAATACGCATAATGCGTATTCATGTATATTGATCTTCACACATTTATGCATGGATAAAGGTGTATATGTGCCATACATCTTGAATTTTTATCAGAAGATAAATGGAGAATATGCAGAGTGAATGAAACAGAACGTTAAAAAAGAAGTGCACTGCATGAAAGGCCCTGGCCTCGCGTGACCCTGTGCACCGATTGGCCAGGACATCAGGATTGCTCACGGGCAGGGGTTTGGACCTCTGTCCTGGCCTGTGAACACCCCTACCTATTGGCCCCACCATAATTTGCCGTAGGTTAGGTAAACTCTACTCATCATGAACAGATTCAATAACCTCAGAATGAACCTGAATTCGGTTTCAACTGAAGGATTTCAATCTCAAGTGCTTTATATGTTCTCCCCTGAATTTCTATTGGAACTAAAATGAATCTACATTCTTGCTCATGTTTTATTTTGTTTAAAGTGTTTAATATTACTTTCCAAGGTCGGATTCTTACATAACTCTGTTTCTATTGAACAGTAATTAGATACTTATCTCTTGAAATGGGTTGGAAAGCTGCTGAGAAACTTATTAGGCACTGGAAGGTTCTTAGAGGGGACAATGTAAGCTAGTATTATTTCTTTCGCATCCTTGTTATGCCCGTCTCTATTCTTCTGTCTTATCATTTTGCTTTGAAAGGGATTTATTTTTGTCATTTGTTACAGGTAATGATTATTAGGGGAAAAGACAAGGGTGAGACTGGAGTTATTAAACGTGTAATCCGCTCTCAGAATCGTGTTATCATTGAGGGAAAAAATCTGGTGAGATGAATTTTTCATTTTGCCTTTCTTTGTTAAAGTTTTTATGTGAAATATTAAACATATCAGCTTGGGTTTGTCAAGCAAGATCCCTCATCAGTCTGGCAATCAGTATTTTTAGACATCAAAACTTAATTGGATTTATGATATTGGTGAACTTACTGCTACGGAATATGTCATTGCTTCTGATTCTGTCAGGCAAGAAAGATATGTACTTTCTTAAATTCTCTGTATCCCGTGGATCACAAAGTAGATTGAGCAACAATTTATTCCATCTAGGCTTGAATATGAAGATCTATTAAACTGTTTATGAATTTATTGGAAATTTATGGTGACATTAGACCTTCTATGTTGTGAATCTCAGAGCTGTTCCGTCCCATAATAATAAATAATTCATATTTTGACAACTATATGTGTATGTGTTATTTGCACAGGCGAATTATCTGAGAAGACTGAATCTTTTAGCATGATGGATAGTTGGTTTTCTTTTTGCCATACTAATGGTTTGGTTTTGTTATGCAACTCTTTTGATTTTGCCCATCCAAAGGTTTTCATGCTATAGGAATAGAACCCTTCCCAGAAGGCGGCTATTCCTTAAGTATCTTTTTAGGTGATGCATATATTTTGTTCTTGGTAAATGGAGTTTACATTTTACCAAAACAAAACTGTATGTTTATGTGTATCACAATTTATTTTCCTCGTGAAAATCTGAATTAAATGGTTCCTTGAGCGTCTAGTTTCTCCATATGCATGATATATTTTCACTTCAATGCTTTTTTACTTCCTTTTAGGTAAAGAAACACATTAAACAAGGACAAGGTCATGAAGGGGGGATCTTTACCGTTGAAGCCCCGATTCATGCCTCAAATGTGCAAGTTGTTGATCCAGTGACAGGGTGTGTACATGTTAATATACTAAACTGGTGATGGCATGCAAAGGTTTTGGAGTCAGATAATTTTAAAATGACAAGCCTTTTCTTGTTCAGGAAGCCTTGCAAAGTTGGAATTAGATATCTTGAAGATGGTACTAAAGTCAGAGTGTCCAGAGGTATGGGAGCATCTGGCTCCATAATCCCCCGGCCCGAGATCTTAAAGATAAGAACTACCCCAAGACCTACAGTCGGTACACACTTAAAAATCACGCTTCTTTTTGGTTGAAGCCTTTTTATTTCCATGTCCTAATCATGTACTTACCTCTTTCCTCTTCAGTATGTCTGACCTGAGCAGTAACACTTACTGTTGATCTTAATTGTTATCATAGATCTAGTGAAATGCACAAATTGTTTTTGAATAAATTCACAAGACAGGTGGAAAAGAAGGGAGTGAGGGTTATTTGTTGAATTTCATGTTTAAATTGTCAACTTGCTTCTACTTCTTGGATGCATGTAAGTTAGTGCTAATGTTTATTGGTATGGCGTAATACATGCCTCTTTGAACAGAGGGATGTGGGTGATGCATCTGATTATACCCGTAACCCAAATGTCACACTTCAGTTGGAGAGAATTTGAGCAAATATGAATGTTTGTACTTTATATAATTTGGGTGAACACTGGTGTTTATTATATATTTGTATATTGAAATTGAAATTATCCTGCTGAGTTTCAAAATCCCTTCATTATTCTTTTTGCAGCTGGTCCCAAAGATACTCCGATGGACCTTGTGCTGGAGAAGACTTACGATGCCAAAACAGGGAGAGGCATGCCTGACCTTTAAAGAGATTATGCATTTTACTGTGGCAGTGATTGGCAAATTGCTTTTGAATAGTTATGGTCATAGAAATGGACCGTTGTTGCTCCACTTCCGTGCTTTAGGTCTAGTACCTCATCACCCCCGTCATGCCAAGGAAGTTCCTGTTTCAAATGCGACTTTAAAGGTTAGCAAATAGTTAAATCGATTAATGAATGATTCTTCAGCTTCCCAGGTGGAATGAGGTCTATTTAATTGATGGCAACTTCTTTTGTTTTTTTTTGTTTTTGAGCAAAATTGATGGCACCTTCAGAAGGTCATTTTCCTTCATAAAATATTGAAGCTGCTGGACTATGCTTTCATAATCCATGTTTGAAGATGGATTTTTCTTGCTATTACATATATATATATTATGAAATATTCCTTGTCGATTAACCCCTCCGACACCCCCCCCCAAAAATAAAAATAAAAGAAGAAAAATTGTGTTGCCTGAGCAGTCGATATGTAACGTGGTTATGTGAAGGAGAACTAAGCACACGGTTTCTGGTTAAAATTGTTGCTTGAAATATTTCAATGACTTCATTCACTGAGAAAAAAAATATTTTATTGACAGTAAATTTTTTAGTATTATACTACTTCCGATCTTTAATATAAGATTTTGTTTGATTTTTATTTTGATCTTAATTATAAGACTCTAATCTATTTTGTTTCTCATATTTATGCATTATTATTCAAGATAGTCATTTTAATAATAATAGTTCTAAGTAATAAACTTGATTAGTAAGGATATTTTAAGAAATACAATACCTATTTATTACAGATAACTAACTTAACATATTTTCTTAATTTTTTCAAATTAATTAACTAGATTTTATAATTAAGACTAGAGGAAGTACATATGTACATATTATATTTATACATTTGCACTAGACTAATTGCATGGGTCCCCTGGGGGAGTCCACTTCACAAATTTGAATATTAGTTGAGCTGTTAACTTGAAATTTATTTTTAGGATTAGAAGTGTCTTTTTGCCAACAAGGAAAAATAAATTCCTTTTTGAGCATAAAGAGCGAAAAGCAGGTTTCTAATTCTGTTCTAGATGCAAAAATTAGATATGTTAATTGAGCAAAAAAAATGTGAAAGCAATCTCATTTGTTTAAATAGTCATATACTAAAAGAAGAATTTTTAAAGTTCTGTTTCGTATAAAATGAAAATTAAAAAGTTTATGAATTATCACCTGTTATGTATATGAAAAATTTTCTTAAGAAACAGGACTTTCAAACCTGAACCCTGCCCCATTTTTCATATAGAAGCACTTATTTGGCGTAAAATGAAAATTAAGAAGTTAATGAAATATCACCTGTTACAGGACTTTCAAACTTGAACCCTGCCCCTTTTTTCATAGAGAAGCACTTATTTGGCACTGCTTATATCAAGTGATTATGGCCACTGAAACGACTTGCTTCACATATTTGTGCCTCCTACTTAGTAATTCATGATTAAAAAACTACAAACAAGTACTGATTTCACTTTTCGTCAAACCCAATTTCTCTACACCGTGCCGAGTCTCATATTAACGCAACTCATTAACTACATTTTTAAGATAAAAAAAGATTTGTCTCAATTTAAAAAAAAAACCAAAAATGATAAAACAAGCTAACGCAATTTTTTCGATAGGAGTAGGCAAGGCAAAGGGCGCCATTCTGAAACAAGACTTCCAAAGCAAACGCCTAATAAATTCTACATTATATTACATAGGAAAGAATGTTACAAGTGCCATCAGAATCTGAAACACTTTCTCATAAACCACCAAATTCAAATTTGCATTCCAAATGCATGCTGGAGTGCATTATGGCCAATCTGATGGCTCCATATGGAACGAACGAACGTAGCAGAAGAACCACAACCAAGTCTAGCATCAGCTTCTGTCAGGTCTACTTCTATCATTTGTAGTAATTACCACGCGAGAATCGATCGTCGACAGAATCTGTGGCATTGACATCCCTCCAGAAACAACAATTTCTGCAATGTTCATAGCAATTTCAACTTACTAATTCAGGATTATCTGTTACAACTTCAAGGCTGATCAACCCATGCCTGGCTCTTCAGCCAACACACACACACACACATGTTCCTAGTTGCATACATCCATAATATCTAAACAGCCTATGCCCAAGGATGATATCTTAGAGAATAAGTCAGTATTGACTTGATCTGGGTTCTATACTTGAGAGACTTATAAGAAACTATAAAAACCAAAACAACTCACCAATTCCTTCACGGACGGATAAGTTTGGTCTAATGACATCACGGGTGTTGACAAGAAATATATCACCAATATAAAGATGGTTCGTGGGAACATAGACACAGCATAGCTCCTCATCTCCTGAATAGCTCTGCAAGAGAAAAATGTGAAAATTTAACAAGCTACTTAAACTTTAAAACTCTGATAATAGAATGTTAGAATTTTCATCAACGAGCATTTATCGTTAGCTTAAACTTGACAGACAAACAGTTTTACACCTACTGAACTGTAAACACGTGGCGTGGGCATCAAGAAAATGACAACTGATTATGGAGTACGTCAAGAATCTGAGTAACTCAAACTGTTGCATTGCACGTAGCTTCAAAGACAACAAAGGGCAAGGAATTTGAAGTACAAAGCAATCAACAGCATACAATAGGAGATGCAATTTTGCAAGTTAACAAACATGTCACGGTGAAAAAAAGAACCACACTAATGGAGAATAACAATTGGCTCAGCCTTCCAACATGTATATGTATAGGCATCAACAATATGCGCTTCGGACGAAACAAGCAAATGTATCTAGGGAAGTGTGAATCCCACGAGAAACATTGATTTGCATTATCAATAAGCAGGCAGAGACTCAGACCAACAAAACTCAGCCAGAAAACAATCGGGATTACAATATAGAATATAAGGACATCATAGCTACAAAAAGAAACATTCTACTCATAAAAATTACAAAAAAGAAAAAAAAAATCTTTCGACACATTGAAGTTCTTTAGAAACCTGAAGGACAACAGATGAGGTGATGAATCCAAATGCATATTCACCAACTCGAGGATGCCGAATGATTGCTACTTCTTTGAAGGCTTGTGTATTTTGGTCTGTAACAACACATTAACATATATTATTCTCTGACACGCTATCACATTCCAATCAAGCTCAAAAGATGTTTGAATACAGACCTGGTGAAATAGCAGCACTAATTTGTTTGGAGGCATTATAAATATGACGTACAAGTGGCATTCGCTTGATAAACCACTCCCCAAGGCCCAGGACAGATGCACCCAACCATGATGACATGAAAATCCCGACCAAGAAGATGAAAGTTATGGAAGTTATGAATCCAAGACCTGATAAAAAAAAAAAAAGTTATGGGCAAATAATTTTAACATGTTTACTACTAGTAGGCCACATGATTAGTAAATTGAGAAGTTGGAGAGAATAATAAGCCATATTTCTATTCTCCACTAATCACTTCACTAGTTTTGTTGCACTGAATTACGCAAGGTTACTAAAACAGAAAACATTGAAGAACAGCAATAACAAGTCTTATCCTATTAGGTGAGGTCGGCTACATTGAAGTGAAAAAAAAAAAATTAATATTAATATTAACAATAATGTAAAGCCATGAAAACTGAATTGCCATGCATTGAAAACATTGTACAAGAAAGTGCTTTTTTCTAACATTTTATGCACTGGACAGATGTTGCTGATTTTAAAATATCATGGACAAAAACAGTGATTTGCAGCCACTTTATCACATACATTTGTTCCGCGAGAGGTGAAGGAATATAGTAGACTTACCAAAAATATCGATTCCAAGTTGAGCATAGATAGGAGAAAAAAATCCATCCACGAAATGAACAAACCACCATGTTATATAGAAGGTTATTGCAATTGGAAAGAGAATGACACTGCAAACAAAGTAATGGTCAGCTTCTGGAGCATTAGAATAAGTTAATGCATTTTCAGATATGGTAAGTACAAGTCTCATGAAACAATCAGCTTTGGCTAAAGCAGGTAGCAGCTAGGTCTTATTTAATATCACCAGGAGAAGAACATGAACAGCAGTGTTCCAAAAATCGCATACAATCATCCTAGCTCATCACCTATTTTTCGAAGAATAGTAAAACAAAAAAGAAAGAAAACTTAAATTAATTGATAAAATGCCCATACTCAGGAGTTCAAAAAGCAGCATTAATGCATAAACGGGCATTAATATGATGAGGTGGAATTTCTCTTGTTTGGCATATGAAAGAGGACATTCAAACAAAAAAAAAAAATTTACATAAATCCATCACTCCCTCCTAATCTATTCATCTGCTTTAGAATAGGGCTGTTTTCCTAGCCTTTTCATGTCTTCCAGCTCTCATATTTCTGATTGAGTTGCCCTATATATCTCCGTATGTATAGACACGAATGAAGACTAAAAATTGCCACTGCGCATTTGGTTTAGATTTCAGACAACAGAGTTTGGAAAGCAGACTGACAACAACTATAATAGTAAAAATTAACTAGGCCATACGAGCACACCTGTCAATGTAGGAATAAGCAATAGCATAGCATACGTCCAAGGCAATAATACCGGTATTAAAATTTGACGTGAAAAACTAAGAATTACGCACCATCCAGTCATGAACTTTTTAGACGCCCAGCTCCGAACAACTTTGTAGAACGTCTACAAAGGGACAAACAAAACTGCAATCTATCAGTCAAATACTTCAGGCAGAGGAATAAAATATACACCTAAACAAGAGAGATAACTTTCGTCAGGTGTTAAAATCTGTGAAAAGTATTTAAATTCAAACATATAACCATGTAAATCTTGCGAAAATTGAGATGCTTAAACGGTTTGACCAATAGATTTCATCACATTAACAGGCATGAGAAATAATAATTACGGGATTTAAAAAAAAAATAAACCAGCTGAAGTCATGATATGTTCAATTTAAAAAAAGTGCTTAGCAAGCAATCACGCTTCAATTCAGCATAAAAACGTAGCAACCATGCCCACAACAGTAGCAGGCGATTCGACCAAGGCCGTGATGAATCGCCTGTAGTTGAATTTTCCATCATTTTCTATTGCCGGATAAAGCAGCCAAAGACCAAGTAAGCACACATGGACAAATAGAAACCCTAAAGCAATGAATGAATCAATCACCTCGCGGCCAGCATGATGAGTGGAGGAGGAGGGAGAAGGCTTGGAACCGGCACCGTCGTCGCCGGAACCGGCCACCGGGATGAGAAGCTCCCGATCTCTGTCTCTGTTAGCCATTAAGGTCGGCGATTGGTTATCGCCCATCGGGAGAAGGAAACGACAGCAAGCAAGCAGCGCCGCTTGAGAAATCAAAACCCCACAGCTTGAC